AATGGAAGAAAGAAGATGAGTTAATTTGGTTAATTACCAATTAATTAATGTTTAATATTTACCATTTAAGAAAAAAATTCAAAGATATTTTGACATTTAAAATATTAAAAATTTAATTACAATCATTAAATATATATGATACAACATGAATCTTAATTTTATTATATTTATTGTGTAGTTATATTTTAAGATTCTTAATTTTTCCTCTTCTTTTGAGTTAATATTGTAATATAAAAAAATGATTATAGAAACAATTTTATATGGGAACAAAATTTAAGACAATAATATGCGCAATCAATTATGTTATTTAAAATATTAAAATATAATTTTTATATTATTTAATAATATAATATTTTTATTTATTAAAATTATGATATTATATGTGTTAATTTATTTAATAATATATGATATTTAATTAAGATAATTATAAAATTTTATTAATAAATTGTTATAATTTTATTTTATTAAAAAATTAAATATATTAAAATAAAATAAAAAAGATATTAATTAATTAATAAAAATACCTCAGCTAAACATATATAATATTAATTAATATAATAAAAAATATATTATACCTTTAAGCAAAAGTCAAGTCATCAAAGAGGTCCACGAAAATGCCACCTAAAGAAATGTTGATGGAAAGTTAACGGAATGATTACATCATCCGTTATAGAAGGGTTGTTTGGCCACCGTAAATGAGTTTAGGGGTTAGTTTGCAGGTGAATCTAGTTGAGGGGGTGATTTGCCACCATATGACAAGTTGAAGGGGTAATTTGCATGTTTTGCTTCCATAACCCACCATCGAACTAATTAATCAGAGCCCTTGATTAAGCTCGAGTTAAATATTGTAATGTCTTAACTGCCCTTAAGAAGACAATAATTCAAAATAAGATTACTCACTTTAACAAACATGATTAATAATACAGGACCATATAATATAATTTAATAATTCAATCAATTCTATTCCAAGTATATGCATGTGTAGAACTTTGTTTATACATGTTTTATGGTCGCCGACAAGTGAGTACAAGTGAGTGTATCCAGACGTACTTTAGATTTGGTTAACAAATCAAAATAAAGAAAATGTATAATATTTCAAATAAAATAAATGTATGCAATACATGATAACGCCAAGATTTTTAATTTCTATTCTTTTCATGAATTTGTAGTTTTGCAGTGGCAACTACTTT